AGTCCTCCGAATTCTCTCTTCTGCCGCTTGTGTTTATTATCTTTTTTAGTCGATACTATCCTACAATAACGTTTCAATACGGTCTAGCAGTTTGCTGGTCGGGTTATGGATGACATCACCCATCCCTTGCATTCTGATCTTATTTCCGCAAAGTCCTCCCGTCCGATGCACCGCAGCCCCGATTTATCTCTGGTCACACATCGGCTTTTCGAACTTCTGTATTGCCATTCCTGGCTAAGACTAGTACCGTCCCCATAATAATCGTTCCTTTTCTGGCTCTGGAATAATCTATTAACTTATTTACTGCCCATAGAAAATGGAGCCAAATTTTGCTGAAAATTTTGATATTATGATTGCAAAATAAAGCGAATTTCTTTCTCCCTTAAACACATTTGGGTTAAATTGACCCGCTTATCTTACTGCAAAGTCTGGCACCACCAAATTTGATAAGGAAAGCTGACTGCCCAAGCAGGATTTGATATGCAATACATATACAATCCACCAGACAAGCTCTGTGGCCCAATATCCCCTGCTACATCTTCCCTACCCCCATCCCTCCCTCTCACACATACCCTCTTACTCCGGACCCACTGCATTCGGCTGCAACTTCCTCACCAACTTCGAGCAACCTGGCCCCAACATACTCATTCTTCTCTCGTGTCCTCTGCATATATCATCCACAGGGGGTGTCATGCCACTTTCCTGGCATAAATATTTCCCCCGATGTCTCTACTCGTCTAATGAGTCTAATGTCAGACCGCGATCCCCATTACTGTTGTTATGCCATTCAGTCATCCTACCCACCGCTCTTCTCATGTCAGTTAGCTGCTGGGCATCACGACACTTGACTCTAGCCTTACGAGAGTTCGAAGCCAGCCAGCACTAGTCATTTGTTGGTTTGCTGCAGACAGTTACTGATCAGACGGAACAAGGAGGCACGCACGTGCTGCGAACTAACCACCACAACGTTTAACACTCAAAAAACACTCCCGATGAGGCAGTCTGCGGCAACTGCCTGCTAAACTTCCCGTAGGTCTCCTTTCCCGATAACACTTGTCTATCCTGATTTGTTTTCCCTGACATGGGATTTGAGAAAAGAATTTTGTTGCCGAGAAGGAAGAGGTAGCCGGAATGGCCATTTCGGGATAATTAGCCGTCGTCAGTCAATAATACCCAAACCGGATGGGTGAGATATCTGGGGCACGATCCCGCGAACTGTCCAACGACTCTAACTACCGAACTATGGGCTCGTTGTCCTGTCGGTCGCGATCGCAAATGTCTTTGTTGACATTAACATTCTGCCTATATCGGGCGCTGCCGTGTGACTGTTGGCTGGGCTCGAGAGAGAGCCCGTAAGGCACAGCGGGACGAGTGATTTCCGTAAGAACGATCGGTAAGACCCCCTCTACGATTTGAGAACCCTGCTGTTGTTGACCGTCGGAACTCTATCTCGTATCTTGCTGTATCGACGCTCCACATAAACGCGCCGACTCGCATTCCTTTCATTGACTGTGACGAGATTTGTCGACCCAACAATTTTACCCCCTTCCTGTCACCTGTTGTTTTTATTTATAAAACCATAAATAAGTGGGGAGGTGAAAAACTGCCTGCCAGTTGTGAGCGCCTTCTTGGCGCCTTATTTCGACAGCATCAGCAAAAGCTCTATTTAAAACGTCAAAACAAAACTAAAGTCCTCCCTGTGACTGGGTTTCCATGTTAAGGCTGCCTGAGAATGTCGTTTTCGCCACCATTAAGTTTATGTCTCCTAATTGGCATTCAGTTGTAAGTAAACAGGGTTTAAAAATGATGTACTTTTGACAAAATAACTGAATGCAATTGAGCTTAGCCTTGGATACATGTTCAACCACCCATTTGCAGCTCCCAACGTTGGCTTGTTTTATTGCATTGGATTGGGCGTTAATTCGTAGGCCAGCTGTTTGCGAATGGTTGACGCGGTTCTTGCTGCTGCGTCTGGGCTGGGATTCGTGGTAAGAAGCAATGCTAAGTGCAAGCATTCGTAAAGTGATCGAAGTTTAGTCATATAATGAGGTGAAGCTTGAAAAGTTTTGTTTATAGAAGACAAACTTAGTGCGCACGAATGAGAACGCATATAACGTACGGGTATACTCGGGATAACGGAATTCCGGTTTGCAGAACGACCGCTCATCCGAGGGCCTGGCCACTCCACAATATATTCCTACACTAAACACTGCACTGACAATGGGTTCCATAATTCTGCCTAAAATAGGCTGAGACTCTTACTATGTCTTCATATATAGGTGTGGAAGGCCGATTGATAGACAACTATATTTATCTACAATTGCCTAAGTAGCCCGGTGTTTTTGTCATTTGTATCTTGCCTGTAGGATTCAAGGCTGTTAATTAGCCCAGTGGTTTCCTCGTGCATCGTGGACGAGTGGATTCCTTTGACTGTAAAACCTGAGGTACTCGTCATCGTCCTGAAGAAGTTTAAGGTTCACTTCCACTGCCTTCGCATCTGTCGTAGACATCACATGTTCTATTGTCTCAAGTGGGATCGTTAGCATGGCCACGTCGCGAGATTGGCTAAGCTTCTTAACGCACTTACCTGTACTTGGTACAGCCGTGATCACGCCGGTGCACGCGGATATTTGTGGCGAGGAAGATGTCGCGTCGCGTCCATAGCCACTTTTTACGAATCCTGAAAACCGTACGAGCAGGATCGATTTGGGAGACGATGTCACCCCTGCTCTGTTCATTCCGCAGCAGCCCGTCCCCGGGTATTCGAAACTGTCTAATTCAAGTTGGCAGCCACTAATTCCGAATAGTGTCTTCTCCTGGTCAGGGATTCAGCACAAAAACTTAGGTTAGACCGGCGGATATGGCGACTTTCACCTACGACCACAGTCCTTAGATTACCAATGCCTGAGGTTAGCAGGGCAATATCGTCGTGCTTTTCGGGATCAGTTAGCCGGCGTCCAAGTGCAGAATAAACATCATTCCCGTGTAGGGCTCTTCTAATAATCCAGTCAATGACGTATTTGGACAGAGTAGGCGATCCCATACAACATTATGGAGCGCCCGGTCTAGTAACGGACGGCTGAGAGAGACATTCGTGGACCAGAACTCCCGCAGAGTTGGAGCGATAGTAGACTTTGGTCATGACGGTGATCTTTTCTGCCATATCACCTAGTTCCATTTTAGCCCACTGCGACTGACGATGTATGAGATCGAACGCAGCGACAAAGCAGCCCGCCGTCGATTGCTGGTAGTCATGGCGGAATTGAAGAATTCGAAGCAGTGAAAATATCTGGTCGGCGCACACACGATCAGCTCGGAACTCGGCTTGGTTGGGTCCTATCCTACAGTCACACACGCCCTGAAATTGTCTGAGTAAGACAACAGCGGAGGCCGCCGCAGCTACATCAATGAAGCTTATATTGGGATAGCTTTCGCACTTTGTCTTAGCTGTTTTCTTGAAGACAGGCACAAGGATTCCCAAGCTCCAGTCATCAGCAACAACCTATTATCTCCACGTTTTCCCAATCCCATGGCGGAGTCAGGACACCAGTGTCTACATAAGACTTTTAGACTTTAGAGGAGAATACCATTCACTCCGGGCACATTGTTCCTGTGCGGCCTCCGTATTGCACCGACGGTGTCTCAGAGGGGTAGTGGGGTCACATGATGCCGCATAAACTGGAGAGGGACAAAACTCCGCTTCAGAGAAAAGCGAAGGCGTGATGGTTATCTAATTTGAGAGTGTACTCGGGGCGCTTATGCTAACGCTCCACCTTGGCCGAGCTGTCCGCAATAAAGTCGATACGGAGCAAAATGTTCTGCGCCATCAGGTTTGTCTGCCAGCGCATGTTGATGGACTCAGTCTATCATGTAGTTGAAAGAGTTGGTAAGAGAAAATGACCCTGATGGACACCAGAGGTAGCATGGGAGGAACCACCCTCCTCGCCATTCATACGGACTCCAGTTCTTGTTATGTGATGGTATGCTTGAATCGGTCAAAGTGGTTTCGGCGGTATGCCATCATGCAGCATTAACGGTCGCAGGGAATCCTGGTGACGGGGAGTATGAACTGCTGGCAAGAGTAGTGGTATGAGGGTCCGGAGAAGGCATCCTCATCAGAACTGAAGATGGCACTGATTCTTGTGCGCAGATTGCGGTATAGGCAGAATCAACTGCTGTGACAACTTAGACGAGACTTGTGCTACAGTGATCTGCCAACTTCCTTTATAACCTCGGGACGCCAACGGTGCCACTGTCCGGGTGCCGTTTATGCTCCCAAAATTTAAATGGAATGCCGTGTAACTATTATAGCTGGCTGTTGAACTTGGCGACTGTAGGGTAGTTGGTTTGTCAGTCCCCCAACCACCGTTCCTGTTTGGCGTCTGCCTGTCCGCTGGACGCATGTATTATTCCGTGCTTAACCTGCACTGAAAGCCGTTCTGCTATACGTCTCCCGCGTACTCTTGGTAACCAGTAGCTGGTTTTTAAACATGCACTGCCCTACCGCAGTGAAAGCAATCCGCATGACTCACTATAATACGCACACCATATCCTTTATTTATTTCGACATGTAATTCGTGTAGTTAGGTATTTTTGATTTTTCAGCTCACACGTCCCGACGATCCATCCTATTGGACTTCAGACTCTGTGCACAAGTCTAATGAACTCGGCGTACCAGTTGTTATCTCAGAAAGCGGCAACATGGGTATTGGACTGAATCGTATACTATGATTTTAGCCGATTATGCCTCTATACTCCAACAAGTGACATTAGAATTCAGAGATGTTCGCGAAAAGTTGGCCTTCGTGTATCATCGTGCACGAGACCTTTGTCGAACCGCATCTTTTCTCCCAGTAGAATTGGACTCGCAGGGGTAAGTCTTATGCTCTTTAACCGTCTCCCCTAGCGATGTTATTAAGGCACTGAAGGGACTTGATCAACTGCTGACTAAATCGTACTTTTGGGAGAAGATGGAACTCGACAGAGGAAAACTGCGTGAACGAACCATAACAACAGTTAGCTCGTTTACTTCTTCCTGCATTACATTTGCGTTTAGATTGATAGACTTTCTCATGCAAGAAGCTTCCAATGCGATCTGCGTAGACGCGTCAACCAGATGGACAACATCTGCCATGACATGTCCAATCGTTCAAATTAAAATTTTTTCCAAAGCCCTTCCGGCTGCTATAGTGGAGGTAGGGGGTAGATGGTTGTTCGCGGGTGGTTTTTTATTGGCAGGCAATCATTGACAGGCTGGTGCTCATGCTTTGCCCCTGTGGCCGTCACATCTATGTTTTGACGGCCGAAAATTCATTTTCGGAAGCCAAAAATCACTTTTGTGTTACCAGAGTTTTATTTCAAATCCAGTACCCTAATCAACCTAGTAATTTAAGCCGAATTTCAAATCGGCATGAGTTAGGCAATTGCTAGCCAAACTATGATTTTGTCGAGAAACAAAAGGAACATAATTATGCGGAGCTTCGAATGCCTGCGGTAACTCCCTGAAACCGTCACCGAACCTAGCACTTACTATCACCAAACCTCTCCTGCCAAAAATTCACCAATATGTGTGCTCCTTACACTGCCTATCCTTCCACGAGGTGGGAGTTGGGCTACATCAAGTTGACTCGGGTCTAAGCCAAACCAGCTATACAGTGATACGGTATCTCCACCACTCCCTAATTCAGGTGGCTATTGGTCGTGTTAGCAGCGGGTGTACTAGTGAACATGTGTTTCGATGCACGAAAGACAACGCAACTATTTAAAATTCACACAAACATTGTGTTGTTCACTTTATAAGGTTGGGAGTCCCGAAACCATACCTCCGTCCTCTAAGCGGCATATCATAGGGATGGTATAACGTCTCAACTGAGATAGTTTCTTGGTTATTATCTCGCCTTCATTAATTTAAAGGAAGCTGCTAGGGGAGCTAGCTAACCACCAGTATCAACAAGAAAACTATCGGAAATAGACACCATTAGACATTCAAGTTCATGAGATTCTTCGATCCCTGTTGCATTGAACACTGCTAATAACCTGCAGTACTATCCGGTCCACGCACGGGCATACGCTTGGATTTGCAATCCAAAAGTTTGTCCTTTTGGGGCGCTGTTGGTTGACGGCCAGATGCGCTACCTTCAGTCACCTTGGACGTCCGGCCTGCGCCCGACTGGAGGCGCCATGCTTGACTCTTCTCCCTCGCACTTAAGTCGAGTTTCCACAAATACGTTAGCGCTTGACACAGTAGTCACCTAAGGACGATCTATGTTTAGGGTTTTTGGGTTTGTTGCTCATCCTGCAACCCCAGGTAGGTATGCGCGTCGTGAAGCAAGACTTTTTGACGATGCTCTCTTCTCTGGAGGCCGTCGTACAGATCAGGCAAGACACGACCACCGCGTCTCAGGTTAGCCGTTGCCAAGTCTTTCGAAAACCTAAAGTTTGACCGCAGCCTGTCAGCTGGTGTCATCAATGCCGACCTGGCGCACGTACAGTCACCCGCACCGAGAATTCTCACCGCCTCATTTATTTCCCGTGCCGACGTCTAAATACCGCGGATAACGTGGTATTTCGTACGGGGCTATCTCCCATGTGTATCCGCCGAAGGCCTGGTAGTTCGACAATCTCTCGATCTAAGCCGTGGCTCACCTGACTTCCCGCTTTCTGTCGGGCTATCGAGGCTAAGGGGGCTGGCGTTAAAAAACCTGTGGGCACTACGGTGCTCAGTCGGACAGCCCTCAAGACCAGTTACTCAGTCCGACCTTCATCAGTTGGGTAGTCTGAAGCTTTCTGTCGCCGTTAAGTCAGTAGCGAGTTAGTTGAGGACTGAGGATATAACCGCCCTCCGAAGAGCCAATAGGACATAGGTGCGGTTCCTTGGACTGCCTTCAAGAAATGTTGACACAGTCTGTTCTTAAGCTGCACTCCGGGTCGAAGAGATAGCAATGTCGGAATCGCCAGTGCTTCTGGGTCTCCGAATTCGTGTGAATTTCGGGTCGGTCAATAAATTTTCTCATACGAGGTCCGGAGTGCTAGTAGACGAAATGCTTCCAAACGCCACTGTCTCCCTGCACAAGTTATTAAAGACCAGTTGGCGACTTGTGAGGAGTAAGAGTGCCGAAGAGGACAGCAAGCCAGCTGGCTCTAAGCGGTAGAGAAAGTCACAACGGGTCGCGAACCAGTGGTGCACAGCCGTCACGTATTGCACTTCAGCAAGGATCGCAGTTGCCGTTGCTGTCCATAATTTTATCTTCTGAATACGGTTGATCAGGCCAGCGTGGACAAATGGTGCTGCCACCGCAACCCTGTTTCTGTTCAGCCGGAAAAACTATGACTACGTACGATTGCGAATAATTAGTCAAAAGTCTTGTAAAATGGTGCTGCGGGGAGACTGCACGTGGTCATGACAGCCGGCATCCTGTTCTGGCTCGCCGGCTTCGCATGTACATACACGTGTCCATCGTCTTTTGTGTTCGCCAGGAATGAATAACTTCGTATAGGTGTTGAGGACCCGCTGATTAACTTCCAAGTGCCCGTAGGCCCATGCCAATCTCACTTGCCGGGGCTCGGCCAGAAGCTATCCTTGTGCTCTGAATCCTTCCTGTGCCAGCTGCCAACTATTTATGCGCCATCGCGCCTCCACGACGTCTAATTAGAGGGCGCGATATTGTCGTGGGTCGTATACAAAAAGGCTACGTTTCGAAACTCGAGAGTAGTAAAACAAAGTTTTAATACATGTGTACATTTAGAAATGATCACACGCGCAGGAGAGGTCAGCACTTGGCAGCGACAAGCGCCTGCGAAGCCTTTTCGTTGGGCTCAGCAAGCTTGAGACGGGGAAGGATGCGCATGCACATTAACTCCTGCAGGAGGAGTTTGCAGGCGTAGGGCATGCGCACGGAGGTGATGCGTTGACTACTGCGGCAGTACTGGCACCAGGTGCGCGAGCTAGCCAACAGACCGCAACGCTCACAGACCACAGCGTCGTAGGCGTCGCTCGAGAGCAGAAGACGCTCCAGCAGGAGTTGCGAGGCACCGTAGGCGATAAAACAGTCGCGCTCCATCTCTCCCACACGCAGACCGCCCTCTCGGCTACGACCCTCAGTGGGCTGGCGTGTCAGGGCTGTCACTGGACCACGGGACCGGGCGTGCACCTGCATAAATAAGACCACCACAAAATGACATTAGTGAAAACAGCAGCCTATAGGGCGTCCGTACAGGATAATGAGCAAATCGTCCGTTAATCTCAGGCGGGACTTACTCAACAGGGGAAGCATGAAGATGGTCAGTACCGTTTTTTGCTTACCATTTATCCCGGTTCCATTGAAGTTAAGTGACGAAATCAAGTCGAAGGATAGCACTTTGGGCAGGGGGCATTTCGATGCGGGTTACTCACAGCCATAGTAGTTGGGATGGGGCATAATTTGCTGTTCGAAACAATAAGTATTCGTGCAAGTCTGATAGCACTCTGTCCAACAGTGAATGGCGGCAACAACTACGAACCCCACGCCACATGATTGCATTAGTATAGGAACCGGTTAAAAGGACGACAGTCCCAGCCGGATGCGTCCGAAACACAGTAACGGAGAAAGACTGACCATATTCGTGTGATACCTTGGTGATGCAGAGATTGGCAAGCGTATGCTTTATGGCCGGGGTTACTTCAAGGATCAAATGTGCTAGAAAATAACTAACGATATCTAGAGATAGAAATAAGAAGACCTCGTGGTGGCTGTTGCGCGAGGGTGGTCAAGGTACGTTAAGGTAGTCATCGAAGTAAAAATACAATGTAATACCTGTTTTACAATGCCTGCGAAGGGGCATTGCATTCATTTAGCATTATCATTAAATGGTAAAAATACTGTCCCTTTCTAATTGGTGACAACGTGGAGGATTAGAATTTGTGATACCAAAGTTATTAGCTGTTCAGCCCTTTCGCTCAATACAAACGCTCCCCCGAGTAAGTAACCCCGGCCATAACCTATACCCTTGCCCAGAGGTTTGCTGTCGGAAAAAACTCTTCTTGGGGGGCGTGGGCAGCGGAAGGCCGGGATATATCTTTTCAATTCCCATCCCTTTTAATCTCTGAGAGGGGTCCGCCGAGTGCTAAAAGGAATGGGCCTGGTCGGTAATGTAGCGAGAATCCCAAACATGTGGACGAATGCATCCGACCGGTTGGAAGGACTGCAAATAACAGCCACACTTGCTGTGGGCTGTTGTACATAGCACTAAAGTCGCAGCCAATTCTGTCCCAACCGTGCGACTCGTCCCGGTCGATGGTGGGGATGATGGGAAAAGGCTAGTGTCGGTCGCTTGGCCTTAAAATATGGCGCGTAAGACTGAGTCCATTATCCGAAGTTCCACATCTGGTAATTCAAGTAAAATATCGCTTGATCTATGTTGGAGTGACCTGGTCTTAATTAAAACGTGGCGGAATACTCTCCTGCCATCAGAACCTTTCCCAGCCATACCAGATATTTTTTACTAGTGCCCACTTTTCTTGGCTGGGTGCTCTGTCGAAAATTGACTCGAATAGCCATTTCCGAGGGAATAGCATCTTGTAGGATCGCCGGGTTCAAAAATGTGTTCAATTGACGTACTTTCCCAATGTCGCCTATATTTCCACATGTTTCTGACATTGCAATCATGTCTGTTCGCCGAAAACACTTGTACATCCGTTCAGGTGGCTATGTCGAATAGCCACATAAGCCGATATACAAGTGTCTTCAGAGAACAGACATGATTGCAACGTCGAAAACATGCGAAAATATACGCTACATTGGGAAAGTACTTTAATTCGACGTAGTTCTGCTGCTTCGCCGGGCAGAATTCAGGGCCAACAGATTTCCCGTCTGCTGGACGGGGCGACTTCCAGTAAGGACGTCTGAAGTGACTCATGGCTTCCATCTCTCCTCGTTTCCGGTCACAGAAGGATGTCGCCAAACTGCACTAAACACCGACTGACATGGTTGGTACTCTGTTTGTTAGTAAATCTTGCAGCTTCCTGCTCGCTGCAACTGATGCTGCGGTTCTAGTCGGCGTAAATCATTGTCTAAAGACGGAAAGACTTATTTTTTACGACGTCCGGCCAGTTGTGTCGATCTCACTTGCGAAGGAAAGGGTCGCCGTGCATTTTGCACACCCCCTCCAATTGCTTCTCACTACTTAGTTAGCCTTTGTTACGCAGGTTCGTTTTTGACACACATTAAAAAGGGATGTCCAAACTATCTTGACAGCAGCTACAATGCCCTAATTCCGCACCAGAACAAACTGACCAATACAAAAACGTAGATTAGTGACTTAATATAGAAAGGGATTTTGAATTTTAATCTGCAAACAGGGTGTCATAGGTGTTAGCGAGTAGAATTTTTGAGAATCAGCCTGTGAATGCGGTAAAAAAATACGGCAAGAAAACCTCTAAGTCTGCTGTTTGAATAGTTTCGACATTTCGACCAGAGAAGTATGGGCAGTGTGCGCTCTAGAACTTTCTTCTCCAACACCCACTTGAAAATCGGTGCACCACAACATCGCATGTTTCTTTTTGGATGTCTCAGTGACAGTATCTCACCCCTGATGGTACCTCTAAGCAGACTATTAACAACCGTAAATTGCAAGAGGAAATATAAACATGCATGATGCTGCTGTATAGCCAGTGATGTGTCAAAAGGTCTGAAAGCGTGTGCTATGCCAGTATCAGCAAACCCTGGCCCTCGCAGCCTGGCATGCGCTGGCAGTTCCCTGACACCTGGTTCTCTGCCGGTAGATGCGCTCGCGTTCCCGCTCGGTATAAAGATGGTGGGCATGGCTGCTCAGTCATCCCCGTCCTTATGACCCCTGCTGGGGTGTTGTTGGTGAAAAGTCCCCGTCATTTGCTGTGTCGACCAGGGAATGTGGAGTGTAACGCCGAGGTGCGGGCTCGGCCGCGCCATCTACCTGCGATCTCCATCGTCTCCGGTCTTCTTGACTCTGTCTTGACACCGGATTCAGGTGGGAAGTGGGGAAGAGAGAGTGCGGCAGATGCTGCGCAAGTATGCTATCACTCTAAACTAATTAACGCGCAAGTCACTGTCCCTGCTCCCCCTTTCTGTACGGCACACGCTGGACATCATCGGAAACGACGGTCGAACTGTCATGTGGCTATGACAGTACATCCGAAGCCTCGCAAAATATAACGGCAAACCAATAATGAAAGATATGCTTTGGAGGTTACGCTGGAAAATAAGTGGATATTAGGCTACATCCAAAGTAAAGGCCTTTCAGAGTTTCAAACATACTCTCGGATCTGATTTTAAAGGAGACAATTTCCCAGACAGTGGGTGTGACAGATGAGTTAGTTTCCACTCATGTACGGGAAGCATTCACTACCTACATAGACAGAAGGACAACAAAGAAAAGGGAACAACTTACGTGGTAACCTAGTCTGTTTAATACTGCACTACCTTATCACAGAGCAACTTCAAATCGCAGATGGGGTAGTTAAGATGTCGAATTTGGACTGTCGCGTTGGGACTTGTGGACCAACTTATTTGTAGCGGAAGGGTGCAAAGAGCCACTCACCTTATCCATGACCATGTGTTTTAGGCGCTGATAGTAGATAGGGCCAAAGTATATGTAGGCCTCCAGAGGTTGACCTGTTACACCAGATGTGAGGATCTCCTTGCCTAGATAGTGATGACCATGATTGGAAAGGACCTTAGAGAGCTCCTCCACTGGGTCGCCCGAAAACGCCGAGCCATCGTGAAGACGACCTTGAACGGCGGCTGCCTTGCTGCCCAATAACTCCATCAGTTTTCCCACCTACAGGAAAGTCAGGTGGCCCACTTAGTGAAATCGAATCTTGGAGAATCAATTAGGCGAAATGGGTCAGAAAACAAGAGTAACTCACCGTCATGCGGCTTGGGAATCCATGAGGGTTCATGATAATATCAGGACAGATACCCTGCGCCGACACGGGCATGTCAGCCTGCGGTACGATGAGTCCGACGACACCCTTTTGGCCGTGGCGACTTGAAAACTTGTCTCCCACCTCAGGCCTGCGTGTCTGTCGAAGAAGAACCTTTACGACCGCCTGGTTGCCCTCCGAAGTCGAGAACATGACCTTGTCGACAAAGGACGGTTCGATCCCGCGATAGTCGGAAGGACATCGCTTAAATTCCACCTGTGTATAAGGGGAAAATGCACTGTGGAAATAATGGTATTGCAGCTGAGTCGGGGTTAATAAGTAGGGTATTCAAATGCAAAATTGGAGGTCGCAAAATTAAATTTGAATGAGGGAAAAGCATTCTGGATGCACTTTCAGAAGCAGGGAGCGTGCGGCGACTCATGGTGGTTTGGCGCGCACTTGCTTGTAAGACGCTTAATTTGCAGTTCACTGACGATGGGTGTCGCACGCAAGTGAATTCAAGAACAGCTTGGATTTCGGCTGAAGGTCTCTTGGTCCTACATCAAAGATGCTTTTCATACATGAATGCTGGAACACGATACCACATGATGCAATTAAAAACGCTAATGTGCGTATTCCCATTTATGGAGAGGAACGCACAATGGATACTAACGCACATTAAGCAAACAATCACAATGTGAACGGATGGGCAACATTACCACGTTGGCGGGCGTCGCGGAGTGCAAAGCCAACTGACCAGCGTTTTCTTTCACCGCACTTGGTTTAACAACGGGCATTTCTTTGTTGATGACGATGCGCTGACTTTGGATGCAAGCACCGACCGCCGCGGAACCGTCTGCCTCCAAGGCCTCGTCTTCACGGCGTGGTCGGCCGGTCTCTACAGAAAAAAACACGGTTCTCGTTCGACTAATTTTAGGGGTTACATTTACTTTGAGGGGTGGCAGCACCATCATGGATAACCATGACTGTTAGGGGGATGGTAAAGAGATAAGGAACGAAGGAGAGAAGCTTGTTAAGCAAGATTGGGATTGTCGCAGTCTGCTAAGTACTTCACGCGGAAAGTCCAGCTGAAGTCGCTAGTGGTCTTGTGGAGAGGCTTTCAAAAACTCCAGATCCCCTGCCCCATTGTCCTCAGAAGTTGTTTGGAAAGATGCAGACACACTGCGCCTCAGGCTATGGAGGTATGAGGTTGAAGTGGATTTTGGCTTCGATAGTCGGAGAAAAGGATGCGGTGACGAGGTACACGTCAGGCGAGACACAGCTCGGTGATAGGAGCATTTAGCTCACCTTATGAAATGCCTAGAATCAACCGGTTTCAAGACGCCCCGTCAGTGGGATATAGCTACAAGTGCAGCCCATTATCTGTCGAGGTTTTGGAAGCGATAGCGACACTTAATGAAACCACAGCATCTGGCGGGCCGACCAATGAGTATAAACCTGTGGATCCTGTTTAGCCATATCGTTAGACCGATCACATGGCATCCGGACCCAATTTTAGGATTAGGAACGGCACCCGGACAGTGGCACCGTTGGCGTACCTGAGGACATGAAGGAAGGTGGCAGATCACTGGAAGAAGTATTGTAGCACAAGTGTCATCTAAATTGTCACTCAAATCGTCACAGTAATTGCTTCTGTCTATACCGCAATCTGCGGAAAAGAACCAGTGCCATCTTCAGCTCAGATGAGGATGCCTTCTCCGAATCCTCATACCGCTACTCTTGCCAACAGCTCATACCCCCATCACCGGGATTCCCTACGACCGTTAATGCTGCATGATGGCATGCCGCCGAAACCACTTTGTCCGATTCAAGCATACAGTGCGTGACCTATCTCATGAAGTGTTGGCTGAAATTCTGAAATGCGTTTTCGATTAGGAAGGATTACTTGGTCGCGGTTGTGATACTGATTGTCATAAGGCATACTCTTATAACATTTTAGACTCGGCAGGATGTCGGCTTTAAAATGCACTTCTTTTCAATCACCGGTAGAAAGCGTGCTCGGTAAAAAATGACTACTTAAGTAGCATGCATTTTTCCCATTGATTTTCGATGGTCTTGGAAATTCAAATATATTTTATAGAAACCATAAATAAAAATATGCTTTCTTTTTGGTCAATCAATAGAGAATCACGTCTACTTTATATTTGATGCTTAAGGAAGGAGTTTAATTAGGTTCTAAAAAAGTTTCGATGTCATTAAAGAGATATCATACAGGGTCCATAAAATTTTGCAATGGATGCAGACCATGTTGTACATTTAATGAGGAGCAGTGGTAAACGGCCAGGTACGATGTTATGTGAATGGACATATCGCGGTCTTAAAAAGTCTCATAATTAGAAACCTTTTTAAAACCTAATTAAACTCCTTCCTTAAGCGTCAAATATAAAGAAGACGTGATTCTCTACTGATTGACCAAAAGAAAGCATATTTTTATTTATGGTTTCTATAAAATATATTTGAATTTCCAAGACCATCGAAAATCAATGGGAAAAATGCATGCTACTTAAGTTGTCATTTTTTACCGAGCACGCTTTCTACTGGTGATTGAAAAAAAGTGCATTTTAAAGCCGACATCCTGCCGAGTCTAAAATGTTATAAGAGTATGCCTTATGACAATCAGTATCACAACCGCGACCAAGTAATCCTTCCTAATCTAAAACGAATTTCAGAATTTCAGCCAACATTTCATGAGATAGGTCACGCACTGTACCATCACATAACAAGAACTAGAGTCCGTATGAATGGCGAGGAGGGTGATTTCGGTTTCCGTCGGGACAATTTTCTCTTACTAACATAATAGACTGAGTCCTCCAACATGCGCCGGTAGACCACCCCAATGTTGAGGTAAGTTTTGCTCCATGCATTACGGATTTTAACCACGCTCGTGGCGTTGCCGTGATGGAGAGTTTACTTGGGCGATTCAACATGCGTTGACCAATATAGGGGCGAGAATAGTCGAATTGAGCTCTAAAATAATCTTTCCCAAAGAGACAATGTTTTGTTCGTATATACGCGCCGGTCCACGAGAGAGGATAAGGCACTTGAGATAATGGACATCTTGCGGTCTAACAGACAAGATATTGACAGTATCAACCATCGCGCCAATTAGGCGTGTGTGGGTTTAGTCCAATCTCTGGAATCGGCCTGAAGCTAGTCTGAAGACCAAGCCATGAGTTTACAAGGACTCCGTCAAAAAAGTTCTTTCGTACAGATGCGAGACAGGTCGTGCGCTCTGCAGTTATCCATCGTCCGGATACATTCAATCGATTGTGCTTGTACTCCACCGATCACAAAGTTGGTGGGAACACGACCTATCAACCGTCCCCTCCCCCACCCGCAGACCTTTTTAATGTGCTACGCCAACCTGAAGGAAAAGACGCTTGAGACGACATCTCTTGTGAACTCGGTCTACGACAAGGCCAAGATTGCTAGTTAGAGACGCGGATGTATGCTGTGAGAACTGACCTCAAGCACGTTCCAGGCTTCCTAGTAGTCGGACCGGGAGGGTTGGGGGCAGCAGACCAAGTAACTTGCTTTTTTCCGGAGTCTACCGCGGACCGACTGCAATAGGGGGCAATCATTCGTAATGACTTAAAGTTACTGTGAGACCGTGTCAGTTGTCATGAATGACGTTGCAAACACAAGTAAGAAGTGCAACCTACCGCGGTCTATGACAGGACCCATGAGTCGATCGTAGACACCGCTTTCGTGCATCTTCAAATGAGCACCAGCCCGCCGATAGACACAGGCTCTCGCGAAGCCCCGATCCAGTGAAGCCTTGTTTACAATCAAAGCATCCTCCACATCATAACCAGAAAAAGACATAATTGCCACAATGGCATTCTGTCCGGCGGGCAGTTGATCAAAGTGAAGCATCTCAATTGTCCTTGATTTGACTAGCGGACGCTGAGGGTAGACCATCTGCAATTGGAGAGTGTCAAAGCGGATCTGTTGGTTGAGCGCAATCGTACCCATAGCCTGTTTGCCCATAGCACACTGGTAAGTGTTTCGAGGTGACTGGTTGTGGTCCGGATAAGGGATTAGGCCGGCGACAACACCCAAAATTGTTGCTGGATCAATTTCCATGTGTGTTGTCGCTTTGCTGACTTCACTCTCGTCCATCGCGACAAGACAGTCATTGAGTTCGTTCGAGTCCACATACTCGATAACGCCCTTGGCAAGGAAGTCCTCCCAGCCAAGTACATTGGCGGCCAAATCCTACAATACGTCATGCGGGATGTGCCAGGTTATGGGGCGACGGCATCGGGGGAAAAAGGGAAACAACGGGTCAATTGAGGACTTACATCAAGCATATCCTGCGTAACAAGGGGCACGCCCTTGGATACGATGATGTAGGGACGACAGAGACGACCGCCATCACTAACAACATGTAGGCATTTAACTGTAGGCTTTATATGTACGGAGACAAATTCGTGAATGCAGCGAGCTCTTCGAAGGCCACGAACCACCGCAGCTAGTTCTTGCGGATCCTCTGTGTAGCCGATCGGTTTGCCGTTCACGTAAACAATGTACCTACAGAGTTCCGGAAGAAAATTCATAAAGGATGGTGGGTCGTTTTTAAGTCTCATAGCACTTATAAAACAGATAAGCGTCAGAGAACTACCGACAGACGGTTGTTCGGGAAAGGAAGGCAGTAACATTAGCTTACTCATTAGGTCCGTAGCTAAATTCGCGAAGGGGGAACACGCAGTAACTCCTGATCAACTGTATCAGATTGGTATCATCAACTTCAACTGTTACGTGACACATAAGGGAGACATTTTTGACCAATCCACAAGCCTCACCCTCGGGAGTGTCTGACGGGCAGATAAGGCCCCACTGACTAGAGTGGATGGCACGGGGACCGGCAATCTAGAAGAGATGTACACGGAAAAACAAGGGGGTAGTCGGAGCAAATTGAAGATAAAAGCATTATTCGTCAGGAGGAATCCATGGGGCGTGTTGATAGACAAAACGCCTTATTCTCGGGTGAGTTTTTCTAAAAGGTTCAGCGAAGAGTATTAAAAGATACAACAAACGCGTGTAATCAAGACAGCTGGACACAGATGGACGAGAAACACGGGGGCTACTAATATCCAAACAAATGCAACTACCACGACCTTATGACTCCTACAAAGGCACATTCAGCAATAGAATATATGCTAGTCTAAGTGAAATTCAGCACTGATTTTGCGTCGTCGAAGGGAGCGAAATAACGGCGGTAAAGAAAGTCAGGCATAAAACGAGGTAATACAGGACAGACATTTAATGCCATATGTGATAGTTCTTAGCCAATTACAGAGAGGACCACGACCAACTATGTTTGATAACAGTAGTGGGGCCTTGCTCAAAATTTAATTCGATCTACAGACCCGGTGTTGGGTTAACTGTCTTTGGTCATATTAAGCCGGTTTCACTACCGGGACGAACCGGTGCCGAAACACGATGTTATAAAAGGGGGATGGGGGGGGCAGGGAATGCGGGCGAACTCATCTGTGATTGTGGTGTCTTGTGTGGGCAGGTTGTTCACCTAGGCCCCCAAGCGGGATGCGCCGTTGTTTTGGTGGATCGAAAAGGTCATAATGGCCGATGCTATGCGCCAATCGGGATGCGCTGGGCTCCTAACCACCGCCACACGTTTGTGGTAAGCGCTATACGGAGACTAATGCCACGTCAGCCACAGCACCCACCCTAATTATCCATTGGCGGAGTCTTGGACTGGGTACTAGTGCATGAGGGGGGAAAGAAAGACGTGGGGCGAACATCATGACACTTCCCCATGGCAACTCAACATGTTCCTTGTCATAATAAATCCAACGTGTTTTAGTCTATCACGACGCGGAAAAGTCATTTTGCCATATAAAGCGCCAACTAGCATGGCGAGGAACATGAGGCGAGTAGGCATGGGGGCGAGCACGCAAACCCGTTCCATCCTACTTGTCATTGTAATGGTTACCGAGGTTTAATAACTATCCACGGTGCGCGCCATCATAACATCATGGACAGCCGAACTTAATCCGTCTCCGTTCAGTGTCAAAGTCATTAATAAGGGCGATAAATGTGGTATAGACGTCGATCTCCACTTCTCAACACTTTTCTTGAAATTCTCAGGCTGTGAAAATCGTGAGAACTGCGGCGTTTTCAGAGAACGTTGTATTTCTGGGAGAAGTCCCTGCTCCAGGTGAACATCTTGGCAATTGAGAACGCGGGCAAAGGCTTTACTAGCAGCTCCTGCGGGGTGCCGCCGCGATGGCTACAGACGTGCCCATTTCCTTTTTAGAAGTCGTAGCATCATTGAAGTCTTGCGGAAGTTGCGCTGTGCCTCTACGTCTGAACATTGGGGTCAACCCGTTCGGGAGTTGACAACCACCGTATACGCAGACTTCTGTTGTGAGTGGGTCAGCACCAGGGACTCTTTAACTGGGCATCCGCATTGGCCTCTTGGTTTCCTATGGGAAAAGTTGATGATAAAAGTCAACATTCGTTCTCGCCCAAGCCGGTCACTTGATGCATTTCCGGTAGTGGGGATAACCTTGAATTGTTCAGCCCGGGCCCCAGAGTCGACGACTTCTCCAACAACAGTGTCGTACAGGTTGCGTTTCCTTCCTGTGGCTCGATTGCTGCGGAAAGAGCTTGGTCGTTGCGAAAAAGCTCTTCTGCCCGCAACGACCAGCGCATGCTTAGATTTCCCCTACCCTGCAAGTCAGACAGCTGTTCTCTATCTCCCACAGCCTCTGTTGCACTTGGCTTCGGCGCCGGAAAAGTGGATTTTTGCATGGCGCAGTTCTGCCCATTATATAGGTCTTTTGGGGCCGGTTATCCTCGGACGAGAAACCTCAGATTTCTTCGCCGGGGCCTGGCATTGACGTATTCAGGTATTGCTGCAGGTGGCCCCCATGATGTGTCTTCTGTTATTAACACTATCCTCTTATAGGACCTGCTTCTGTTCCAGATCTGGCGACACCTAGCCTGCTGTCGGCGAGGGCCAATATTACTGTGCTCAGTCGCCTTAGAGACGTAGTGGGGCTGTGTTTGCCGTCTACTCCTCTACATGGTGGTAATTACAGCACTCGCCAGCGTATAAGACAAAGGACACTGGAATGACCATTTCTGGCTTATCGGCAGTCATCAGCCAGCCGTAGCCAGTTCGAAGTCTTTCGCAACCCCTGAGGCTCGACCCCGCGACCTGTTGGTTAGAAGCCCAACGCCCTAACCATTGAGCCACGGTCTCGTCGTCCTGTCAGTTGCGGTCGATCATATCAACAATGGTAGTGTCGCCCACCGATTGCGTTATGGGACACACTCGTCCCGCTGTGCTTTGGGGCTCAATCTAGAGCCCCGCGAGCAACCGCTGGTTTCACCACACTACAAACACAGGTACTAGCTAGAAGCCCAGACATTTTTGCCGATGTTTCTGTTGCATAAGGCAACCGCACGGTGTCCGGCTCTTCAGTGGGCCCCCAGTGTTTTCTGTGAGACTTCCATGCCTTTTGTCTAGTACCTATGTTAGAAGTATGGTGAAATCAGTCATATAGTACGAATTTGTAGAAAGGGCATTGCAGGGCTTTTCGGCAGAGCTTAATCGTCTGTGACCCAAATGCTCATTATAATTTCGGGACTGACCCTAAAAAGTCATGTCCCGGGTACTTAACTCCAAGTCCTTTCGTTAATAATTTGCGAAATTATTAAGATGCTGACCTTCCGCGTCTTTTCAAACTGGCTTGTCATGCGAGTCATGTGACCGAGAGCCGCAACATAGGACAGACGACTGACAAGTTGTGTGACACCCTGACGCATCATACGGAAGCGCTTGATTATCCAATTGCCTGAGGAGATGGCCCTATTGAGCTGCTCCGTGATGAGCCAGGTTTTGATGTGCCTCGAAATGTCGAATGGGGCCACGCGACGCTTCGTGTCCAACTTTGAGACAGTCAGCCAGAGGTCCTCATTGAAGGTCTTGAACACATCCTCAAAGAGCAAGGCAAGGAGGGAGCCTCCCAGTTCAATTCGTTTGTTTCCATAGAAATCACGGTCATCAGGCTAGGAAAGAAAACGAAAGGTGGGAAGAAGTAAAAAAGCGCAGAAGTCAGAAGTAAAAATGAAAGGAAAAGATAAAAAAACCCCTGGGCATCGGAAAGAGCAGACAGAACATTGTTGCTGACATCTGCCATTGTGATATCTGACGTCCTTGTTCAAAACCCCGCTGGCTCAAATTCACTCGCCTTCGCAGCGAGCGGTGTCGGACGCGCTGACCTGCAGCCACTCGACCGGCAGCTCGGGCACACGTGCATCCAAACAGTCGCAGCTGTCGATGCGCTACTTGAACATGACGGCCCTAAGCCGATGCCACACAGGCGACTAGACGCACCACCTGGAAACCAACTGGACATTTGGACTTGTTCCTGCAAACCTGCAAAATCAGTTGTCATTATCTTCTCTCGACACATGTCCTGACCTCGCCGGCGGCCACTGCCACCTGAGAGGGCAACTAAGGGTTACATACACAATACACGCTCCATTCTGGTGATTTCTGTCCTCCCCTACAACTCGGGATTTGGCCTGGTTATAGAGGCGTTCTGATTATTCTGACCGCTTAGACGCTACATCAAGGCAGGACGATTTTCCCGAGCACGGCATCCCCATCATTATTTGAGGAGTCACTGCTTTATATGCAAGTGCAGGCTGTCCCTTGCGGCATGCCAAAGGTAGGTCAAGTAAAGGACTGCGACGGCGAGTCAGGGGTTAGATATGATACCTAGTTACGGAGTGCGACCAAACGAAGACATTGTAGTTCACAGCTCCTCTAACCAACAAGACGGCTGAGCTTATTCTGGCTCAAAGGACGATACAATACACCACATATTCGCACATACGTCAATGCTTGACTATTTAGTTCCAGCAAAGTTCTAAGTGCATGTTTTCTCCTGACGCGAAGAGAATGAAGGTCGCAGAGAGGCACGTGGGCCAGAAATCTGGTTTGCTGGCCTCGCAAACGTTTGGCTGGGTAAAACGCAGCAACCAACTTCCGTAATACCGATAAGACAGAACTAGTTTGAGTTTTATACCTTTTGGATGTAGGAAGTGCTCATCAGTGGTCTAGTAAGCCACCGGAGTAATGACCTTTTATGCAATATTGTTCTGATTCTAAAAAATATGCACAATCCAACCCAATCCAATCTTTAAGAGGAAGAGGATATCACAAACTTCCTGCATTGCGCGCTGATCTTGTCGTTGAAGTACTCGACTTCGAAGTCAAGCAGATCGCGTTAGTTATGGACAAGGATATTCTGCACTGTTTAGTACAAATATTCGACTTCCTGCGTGGTCAGAGGATTTCGTTCCGCCCCGGAAGTGGTAGCATGCAGCTTGTGCAAAATCACAGAGGTACGAGAAAAGCTGACCTAAGGAAATGTTGCCTTGAGACGCCTGACGGTTGTTAGATCATACAAAATAAGGTAATGAGGTAGTGGGGATCGCCTGCGCAAAGTTGGAAAACGAGAATGGAATAAAGGCGAGAGACTCAACGTTTGATGGAACAAACTAAAGCGCACAAGGTTTAAGGGCATGAAGCTTGGAAAACTAGTTACTACAAATAACAAAAGTCAGTCTGCTTACCGGAATCTTGCCATCCGCAAGGAGGATCAAGTAGCGCACCATTTGCCCTAGAAATAGAGCTCGAACAGAAAAGTTCATCTTCTCCATGGGCACATGCGTGATAACAATGTCACGCAACATACGCTGAATGTCCACCTGAACATCGCGATCAGTGATATCCGAGTTAGTCTTGCCGGCTGGACGTGAGAGCCTGAAACGAGGTTGACGCAGCTTGGACTGTAACCACCGGCAAGCGTCTTGCACAGTGTGGATCTGAACATTTAAAACAAAAAGCCCAATCCTTTAGAAGTACAAATTAATGTTTTGGCGTCGATGTTGATGACGGATTGGACTTCAGGTTTCATAATCAACAGGAAAAGCAGTGCCCAGACATCCTATGAGCTCTTTAACTCTATCTACCCTGATTCCAAAGTCGAAACGTGAACACAAAAGGGCGGTAAGACCCATAATTGTCCGCGGCCACCCACTACCTGGGATCAAGTAAACGCCTCCAATTTTGTTTCTACACTGACCGCCAGCAGGACCGCACAAGTGATTATCAACGGTCACAAAGAGATGATGCAAGTTCGCCTGCGTAACACGCGCAACGCAGTTAAACTGATAATCGGACTGTCATAATGGCCGATACGACTGCCCATGATAACACAAGACCTAGCTCTGTGATTGGTTGATCTTCTTGTACCTCTAAGGACGGACCGCAGAAACTGTCTGAGAGCCGAAGTTACTAAAACTTCGTTTCTAATGATTGATTTTTCAACTGTGAGTGGGTATTCCCTAGACGACTGCTAGCGCAAGGATTACGGTTTCACAAGCATTGCATTTTGTCGGCAGCAGCTAACGAGAAACAAGCAGTAAAGCAACAGAACTTACTGGGCTGCTATAGTTTCAATTCGGACTTATGAATGACAAAAACAAGCAATAAAGAAGAGATGTACTTAATACTGTAGTAGGTCAAAACTGCCATTAATTGCCGAGTTATTATTAAAATGTTGATTATAGGACACAAGAAACTCGCACAGTTGGGACCGCTGTCGTCAGGCGGAGTCAGACAACTTACATCCCAGTTTCGCGCTGGATAATCTGGTTTTGGGCTATGGACTACGACTTATGGGTAGGACACTCGGCAGATTCGGGGATCGACGTTTCTGGCCCGTTTAGTGAAGAACATTTACAGGCAATGCGAGTTTCTAATTTTCGATGCTTTGCATTGTAACAATAATTGCTACTTATTGAAAGTAACGACAATTTCAAATTGTCTGCTAAACCCAAGTAAGGAGTCGTTTTGACTGGGATCGCTATGACGCTGGTAAAATTCCGAACGCAACTGCAGCATAACACTTCGTACGAGGTAACATACGGTTAAGTCTAATGCCTACCAATACTACAACCCCACTTGACAAATGCCTTCTATTAGATGACATTTTAAAAGGATTTCGGTCGGTTTACTGAGATATGATATATGCCACAAATGTTCAGCGGCATACAGCCTGCGGGGTGCGATACCACCAAGAAGTTAAGACATGCGGGCTTAAATAACAATTTAATTGTTTGAGGACGACATATTGCGTCTAAAAATAAATGCATAGTTGATTATGGTACACAAGTTGCGAAAAAAAGCTAGACATCCAACAGTTATGGATCCAGCTTAAAATGGTCGTCCCTTGCTATTATGTCAAACTAGTTTCTTGGAGTGCGCCTGTGCCAATGTTCCAGCTGGTTTGGTGGGATTAGTTCTCACACTCTTATGGAGGACATTTCCAACTGGACTTTTGCCCTATAGATATCCTTGCCCACAGGCAAATGCCTCAACAGACCGTCTTAAGGGTTTTTGATGCCACTTACAGGAGGACCGTTCACGGATAAGTTAAGCCTGGGGGAATCCATCGTTTGGAAAATTTAATCCAGTGAGAGTGGGCCATTCACCGCTGAATGTTTATGTTTGTCAACATAAACGTACATAATTAGACAGTACAGGGGCATCGATGACTGAGTCCTAACCTTAGACCCAAAAAATACAAAAACTTGCCGGCGGGTACATAATCCCCTATGGAGTTGATCTATTCGCTGAAACTTTGTAAATTAATAACTCGGACCTCTAGCCATACTGATCTAATCTTTCACCTGGTAAACTAACGCGCTCCATCAAGTACTGGTCCAGCAGACAGGGTTCAACGAGAGATACGACTCCTCAGTGCGGACTGGCGGGGTTTAGATGAGTCTTTGTCAGTGTCCTCAAGGAAGATACGGATATCGCGGCTTCTCCGAAGGCTAGATCATCCAGATCAAGACTTACCAAATGTTCCAATTACAGAAGTTTCTGCCTGGTGTCTATCTTTCTCATCTGGGATCAGTCCTCGCAAATAATTTTCTGTGCGATGAGCAGTCCCCGTACACACGAGAGGTATCGTGAACAAGTGTTTAACCTGCACTTTTGACGAAGGTTGTTTGTTACGATGTGCGTCTGACTGGTACTTCAGATCAGACGCAAAGTTAAAACACTGGCCATTAATGTGCGTCCCGAATTACCGATCATGAGGCCGAGGCTTTGCAAACGTCCCTCCAAATCCCTCAAAAGTCGCTATTATCTCTTAGTTAATAGTGCTCTTCTTTGATAACGACACAAACTACTGATAAAGAGCCTGGTCGGGGATGAATATAATACCCATACTCATGTCCTGAGGTAAAGTCCGCCTAGTTGTCAAGGGTCTTGTGGTGATTTTTTGATGAGGACTGGAGTCCAAAACGCATCTTACTACCTTTGACAAGCGATGCAGCTCAACGGTTCCCAGCGCTTCAAAGGCTTCTCTTATGCTCGACGCAGTACTAACATCCCAAAATCTCCTGCGCAAAAGTTTTAAGACATTATACGTCCAAGAGCGCCAGTATCGGACTTCTAAATCTGCCAAACCATCTATAAATGGATGTACTTAGTGTTTATTCTAATTAGAGTTTATCGGAGCTTGTAGCGTATAAACGTAATTAAAGCAAGGCAACTCTGACATTAGTCTGCTAATAACTCACTGATTAAAACAGTAGAGAACAGTCCAAAACACAAGTGGCCTTTGAAAAAGAGCGTTCGCTTTCTTGTATATATAGGGAAGATCACTTGCCTTAGCGTCGATGCACTGCTTCAGGCTAGGTACCACTTTAGTCCAGATTGACTGTTCACGTCCAACATACTGTAAAATTTCTTTGTCCGCTGTGATCCCCATGGCCTTGAAGAGAATAACGATGGGTACATCAACGGTGAAGGAATTGTGCTGGAGAAAGAATCGACCGTCTTTCAGCAGGATGTTTGTTTTGGACTTCGTTTGAGCGGATGACGAAGTTACAGAGCAGACCATACCCTTGCTTGTGTCTCCTTCAACAAGTATGCGATTCTTTGACATTTGCTCCTGCATGAGAATGACCTTTTCACTACCGTTTATGATAAAGTAGCCGCCGGGATCATGCGGGCATTCCTTGAGTTTCATTAACTCGGAGGGCGATTTACCTGTGTATAAAAATAATGTGAGACCTGGTCATAACTGCCATTTTGCGAGTCACACTTTTCAAATATAGTAGTAAGAGTCGGAACTGAGATAACTAGCCAGACTTTACTCGGAGTTCGAAATCTTTCAAAATACCAAAAAGTTACACTAAAGTGAATGCTAGTTTTTTGACAATATAATTTTAGCAAATTCGTGCCATCTTTTTGCCAAGTTAAGGGGCCAGACAACGATCAAGATACAGATGTATACATGCATATGGATGCAGGCCCTCAGCTTTCACATAAGTGCTTATAGATAAGAAACTATCTAGCTACGTTAGCAACTAGTTATATTTTCTGAAGAAACTTCAACGAAGGCAGCTTGCCTAATATATGGCAATTTGGATTTACGAACGCGAAATCTAGTGAATTAGTCTTAGGACGCGGCGCAAAAATGCCATTCGTAGTCGAATACGGTTCGACGAGTTTTAAAATATCCTCATGGAAGGTTAGGAAGTTCGCTGCCGGTCGAACGCTGAAAAACTCACCATGCAAAACACAAGCCGAGCTTTTAAGCATCAAAGGCATTCGTCCGATAAGTACTCCTTTCTTTGACACGATTTCGTGTTGACGTGTAAAGGTAATGTCCACTAAGATTTCCCCGGCGTACGTAAGGTCGCGCAGGCGACAATCATGGGGGGAAACGCGACTTGCAACAACGCTTCCATCGTTCACTGTCGGCGGTTTGACATACACATTATTGTACTGCAACCACCAGTTGGCTTCAGGAACACTAACACGATTATTTGCTTGGACGATGTTTTTAATCTCTGTCTCGATAAAATGATTGAAGGAGTCTATGTGAAGTTTCACGAGGCCTTTAACGCTTAAAAATGCTGGAACAAGCTTGTCCTTGCCCACTAGACGCTTTGTGGTGAGATCCCCGCTCGCACCACCATGCATCGCCGGACCGCGCTGCAATGAATTGTAACCTACGCGCAACCTTTATCGCAATTTATGGAGCTGGTTTTTCGACAACCAACTGCGACTATACATATTAGTGAGTTCAAACACTGCAGTTTGTTTGTTGTTATTTGGGTTTCTTATAAAGTTACTTTGCATTAAACACTCAAAAACACGCATTGAATTAGATAATGATAACCCATTTCGTCTGTAACAGACGACAGACTAGACTGGTTGGTTGAGTAAAGTGAAGGACGTAGAGGCGCGGACTTAGCATGGCGATGGTGTGATGGAATGCCAGTAAAAACGCCGGTGCCGGATTCCACTCTTTTTCGCTGCCCCTCATCGCTACGGTTATCGTCGGATCAGTTCGTCTTATATTATTTCTCGCTCAAAGCCAGTGTTCCCACTCCAGAGGAAACTGTAATGCATGTATCCCCCTTCACTATTACACGTGTAACCTTGATACTCGTTTACATAATTCATACCTTAGAATAGCTTTCTTATGTCTATACTTCGTCGTCTTATTACCTCGGCATGTGTGTTCAACCTGTTGTTTTCCAAACCTTTTCTGCGTTATTACGAAAATGGTGTCGACAGCAGGTAACTAATTTCCGTGTGTGCGCGCCAACCTCAACGTCGTCGTACGTTACACCTCTTTACAATGCCTCTCGACCATTCGCGACGCTCGCTTTGAATCTTTAGGCTGCTTTGACGCCTGATGTATATAAATACGCCAGAAAATTGACCAGGGAAGTAAATAGGACGCTCCAGCTTCGGCCTACTATTGTCTGGTGACTTTGTTATTGAGCAGGAACTTCTTCGGTCTACCTGTACGCGTAAGATCATTAGCAAAGACGTTACGCAAGTTCACTTTAATACCCATTCCATTATATTTCTATAAATTGTTTTAGTTTTTCTTTTGGTTTCGCCCTCAATCAGTTCAGGGTAGTTACAGCTTGTTTACAGCGATGCCGCATTACACATGAAAGACAGTTTAGTATGTAAACACTTTAAAGAGCTGCAAAGCTCGAGTTGCCTTCGGCACCGTGTTTTTCCCGTGGCATACTGTCTCGGTCAGGCGATTTTGACCGTTTGGAGGACTGCATGTAAGATTATCTATGCGGCAGGGATGAAAAGGCTAAGGGAGTGATAATCCTGTCACAAATATGCGACGACGTCTATGACCTGCGCGGGCTTCAGGCACCGAATGTAGGATGCCTGTTACAGACATTTTTAGGGATTTTCGTCGCATTTTCTGCGGCTCAACACCCATTTGGGGAGTGCGATCTGAGTTCCGGCGGCGGTTTCAAGGGCCGATCGAGAGCGCCTTAGAATTTCAACGGGTCCTTCGTCCTCTTGGACGGCAGGCGTACCCTAACTTGTCAGCCGCGGATCTTGAAGATACACCTCTCGAACGGTTCGTAAATGGTTTTTTGGATCCGGAGTTTCACAAAGTATTTCTCCATCAGCAGCCGTCCAAGTTGGACAGCTCTCTTCCCCTTGCCCGGCAAGAGGAGGCTCTCCCGGCTGTCTGTGCCACCACCCTGAGAGTGACCTCTATGAGGTCTCAAGCGGGAGTGCATATCAGCACTCAGACGCCCGGACGTCAGTGCGCGTGTTGGTCCTACCTTCCTCGGTAAACCAATTGGCGCCGACCGCCGATCCGCCGCTCTACCGCTCATCAGGCATGCCGGCCTGTTCAGGTGGTTGATGTCGAGCAAGAGGACAACAGTAAGTGCGTTTTTCGGATACAGCTGTGTTATGTATTAGTCACTCTACTTTCTCCTTGGTTAAGGGCACAGACGGGGGCGTTTTATTTTCTTGTCTGGTCAATTCTGATGCAGACTGTCTACTAGTTAGGAAGCGGCCCTTCTATTCCTCTAAACTAAGATCAGGTTTCGAGGAGAATCCTAATAGCGCCTCTGCATGGTCATCGGTGCTGGACTTGAACGCGACGGTTTGGTTGGATTTTCATTACAGCTTGGTGGCTAACTATTGAAGCACCAGGTTCGCCAAGTCTCTAAGTCCTGACAGTCTACTCACCACCGAAAAATGATCCCACGACTGAAGTCCGTCTGCTTGAGAACCTGGGGAGATTCTTTATCTGCTCCGATGTCTTAGTCACGGGAGACTTCAATGCGTCTTTGATGAACTGGAGTTAACTTTACGCATCCGGTCCAGGCCATACTTTGGACCGACGTTTGCTTAACATGGGGGTGGGGTTATTTCTCATTCAGCACGTCTCGTTCCCAATGAGGGTACGCGAAGGGCAACAGTCAAATTGTCTGGATCGGATGCTCACAAAGTCGCTGGGCAGCACTGATGAGGTACAAAGTCTACCCACCCCCCCCCCGCCCAGGCGGAGGCGACCAGGTCGTCCTGTTGTGGGAGCATTCCCTCTTTTCTGTGTCCAAACAAGCTGTCAGAATTAAAAGGAAAATTTGGCGCAGCGACTTTGATCGCATGAAAGCCGAAACAAACACCACAAACTGGAAATCAGTTTCCCGGTGACACTGTCAAGGGTTGAGATTAGTTTAGTGAATTATCGCACATTTTTCCCAGAGAACACTGCCGGTTTCACGGAAGAAACTGAAAAACAGACCCTGTGGCTAACGCAAACTTTAAAAAAGAAGTGAATAAAAAGCGGAGGTTATGGAGGAAATTGCTCTCGGATAGGAGCTCTGTATTGATAAATGCGTACAAGACACAGCGGAAACTAGTTAAGTAACTAATCAGCAGAACATGGCATGCTTTCGAGGATGACCTACTGAATCGGGCCGCAGAAAACCCGAAGTTATTTTATTGTTACATCAGAAGGAGCCCGCGAAACAGAGACCCAATCCATTTATTGAAAGCTAGTAAAACCTAGGGCTTAGTGGAGATGGGGCAAATGCAGAGCATCTTTCACAATGTTTAAGTCCATCTCTACGAAGGAAAGCGCATTTATTCATCCCGATTGGAAGGGGTAACGATTGAGGCTGTCTCCTTTGCCGAAGCTATTGTCCGCAAAGAACTGTTGACACTGGAGAAATCTAAATCACCTGGGCAGGAGTGACATGCCTTCCAAATTGTTGAAGGCGCTCGCTGGAGAACTGTCTCAACCGCTGTCCATGCCCTTCCAAGCCTTGTTCGAAGCAGGCTGTTTGCCCGCCGACTGGAACTCTGCTCGGCTTACACCACTGTATACAGGAGGTAGCAAGGTCTAGGCAAACAACTACAGACCAATCAGCCTCACGAAAATTTGTTGAGAGATTATGGAAAAAATAATAAAATGAGAAGTAATGCGCTTCCTGGAGCAGCAGTAGCTGCTACGTGACGCCCAGAACGAATTCCGTAGATGCAGGTCATGCGTGATAAATCTGCAGTATTGGTTAGAACGCTGAGACCGGGCAGTTGATGGCGGCTACGCAGTACACGCAGTCTATGTCTACAGTAAGGAAACATTCGATAATGTACCAGATCAGCGTCTCCCGTGCAAATTAGGCCGAACAAACATTAGAGGTAACCTTCTCAGGTGGATTCCAATTATGTTGATCGGTCTCTCTCAAATCTTTCACCACGGGGACAGGCAATCGGCGGAGATAGCGGTTGAAAGCGATGTTCCTCAAGGCTCCGTCCTTGGCCCTACCTCGTTCACTGTATACGTCAACAACTGCGTCAGTGAACTGAATTGTGATGTCGCCATGCGAGCTTATGATTTTAAGGTTTGGAGTAGAATGCTATTGCCGACAAAGACAAGGGAGACTGGAATGGCCATTTCTGGCTTATTAGCCGTCGTCAGCCAGCCATACCCAAGCCCGAAGTGTGGAACACCCGAGCCTCGAACTCGCGACCTGTTGGTTTAGAAGTCCACGCCTCTACCCACAGGGCCACAAGCCCGTTGCCTTGTCGGTTTCCGATCGGGAATATACAGTGTTAGGAGGCGCTCACCGATCGTTCATACGGAACTCACTCGTTCCGTTGTGTCTTAAGGGCTCTCTCTCGAGCCCAGCCAGCAGCCGCACAGCGGCGCATGACATATAGGCAGGATGCTATTACCGACAAAGACAAGGGAGACTGGAATGGCCATTTCTGGCTTATTAGCCGCTGTGCGGCAGCTGGTTGGGCTCGAGAGAGAGCCCTTAAGGCACAACGGAACGAGTGAGTTCCGTATGAACGATCGGTGAGCGCCCCCTAACAAGGTTTGGAGTGTCATCTGAACTGAATTTGATGAAGAGCGCTTACAGGAAGACTGAAGTAACTCGAGAAATGGTTCCAGAACTGGCTTTTGCCGTTTATTGTTACTAGGTGTAACATTCGGCGAGTCAGTGGAGCCCGATTTCCGAGCCGCAGGGTTTAACACCTAAATGGCGTACCATTACAGGAGGTAGACGTCCCGAAGAACTCGGGTGTGTGGGTCACGGCTTTTCTTAAACCGTCGCTCCACTGCTCCAAGGTAGCTAAGTTCGCGATATCAGTCCTTTACCTTGTCAAGCAGGCTTTCTCTATTTTCGATGAGGACTGCTTCGTTAAACTCTTTCGGACGTTTGTACGTCCACAGTTAGAGTTCGCTATTCAATCGTGGAAGCCGGATCTCGAAGGACCCCAGCATCCTTGAGAAAGTTCAAAGGGGGGCAACCAGACTCGTTAGTGGACAGGGTTCACCACCCATGATTTACAGGAAGCTAAAAGGCGACCTCATACAAACATCCCGTATAATGCGCGGCCAGGAATGTTGTCTTTCCTTGCAGACTTCCTTGAGTTCGCAGCCACAAGAAACCTCAGAGGTCATCCACTCAAACTTCGTGTGACTGTCGCCAGACTGGACACGCAGCAGTTCTTCTCCGGCAGGGTACTGGAGGCTTGGAATGCTCTGCCATCAGATATCCTCATGTCCACGTCCGTCGAGGCTTTTTAGCGTTCCGTTTTAACAGTTTATCACCGTTATAACTACTGTCTGTATTTCAGTAACATTTATTTTTACTTATTGTCCTATATGCATCGCACGCGAGTGTTGC